GGTCGATTCCACAAGAGCACTTTCGAGCGATCATCTTCAATGAATGGCGCTGCGGCACAGGAGCAGTGGAAACCGTCAACATTATCAGCATCGCATTGGGAAGGGACACCACTTCCATCATCAGTGCCAAGCTCTGGTTCGCAGGCTTCGAAGGAGGAGACACGGCTTCCGAAAGACAAGACAAGGTTGGGAAGCCCCCAAACAGTGGAAGACTCCACCGTTCTCGGCGCTGTCGAAGAGGATCCGGAGGTTAGCACCCGCAGCCTTGTGATAAGACTCGGGTGCACCCATCCCACAGTCCTCGGTCCCCTCCACGCCCTCGCCACAGGAAAGTGCCGACTCGATGGATCCCTCATGTCTTGACCGATAGCACGCGGTTCAGGCGGGTACCCATTTGTCAGTTTCTCCTTCTTTGTCCGCACCGAAAGGAGTTTTTGGAAGGCATGATTACGAGAGATGAGAGTTGGGTCCTCTACGATTCTAACAAGCACAGTGCCGTGTGGCTCCCTCGAGGAGAAGACCCGCCGACACAAGCAAAATCGGACCTTCACCCCAAAAACTGTCTTCTTTGCTACCTCTGGGATTCGTGAGGAATGTTGTATTGATGCTCCCGCAAGACATACCGCTACCGGCAGCATTTACGCCAGTCAGCTCCAGAAACTAGCGGACGCTGTTCAAGAAAAACGACCGAGACGAACTTCTGTCCACCTACTCCACGATGACGCCAGGCCCCACATAGCTAAAGAGACCCGTGCAAAATTGGAAGAGCTGATCTGGGACGCGGTTCCCACCCACCCTATTCCCCTGACATTGCCCTCTCTGATTATCACTTATTTCATCCCCTTCAAGGCATTCCTAGCGAAGAAAAAATTCACCAAAGTTGAAGACGTTGAAAGAGCGGTCAGCGATTTCTTTGACTCTCAGTCTGCTCAGTTCTGGGAGAAGGGGGTCGCTGACCTGCCCATTAGGTGGGACTCTGTAGTGAGTAACAATGGTGATTATATTGTTGAGTAGATTCCATTGTACGCGGAATAAAAAAGCAAAGAACAAAAAAGTGTCAAACGGCTCAGGACTTTCTTACCACCCTAATAATATCGAATACATAAATTATATTGTGATGAAATGATTGCCATTTGGAAACGCAAACGGGACAATTCTTAATCATGTGATGGGAAAACGTATGTTTGCTTATTACGGCTATATTCCAGAATGATATGCGCTTTTGCAAAGGATCGTTTGTGAATCAAACGATTTCATCTGTTTTCTCCAGCTTTCAAAGCAATGTGTGAACGGTGCAAATAGTTGTGCTATGGTTAGATTCCTTCCTAGGCAATCCTCAGGAGTTATCGCGTATGGGAAATCGATTCCTGCAAAGGTTTAGTTGAAACGCATCTCTAGAAAATGACCCCTACCGAAAAGCCATTTTGTCAACTCTGACGCGTGGACCGAGTGATGGTCTGATCCGTTGTTCATAGTTGAAAATGCCAAGAATTCGTCGCAGAGCACTTGGCTGTCTGATGTGAGAGTTGCGTTGGAACCACTGGGAGAGAGAAAGAGATGGCGTGGTCATTTGGGATTTGACAAGAGTTTAGAGGCATGGACTCATAAATTAGCCACAGAGAAGATGGTTTGTGGGAAGCTTCTACGGAATTTTTATCAGTTCTCAGAGAACTTCCATGAAATTTGTGAACTTTCAAGAATTTTAGAGACTGTTCCTACGATGAAAAGGGCAGCCCATTGGAAATTGAGTTAGATACGTTCAGCTACGCATGAAAGAAGCAAAAACCAAGAAAAAACGGCCCTAGAACCCCAGATCTTTGGTACCCCTCCACCCCCTTTGGTTTCTGCAATGCTTCCGTTTGGAATCTTCCATGAATCATTCATCCATTGATCACATTCTTCTCGTTGATTGTGTTCATTCATTCTATGGTTCACGCCGATTGTATAACAGAGAGAAGCAGCCTTCAATCCATTTGTCGACCAGTCCGCTAGTTTCTTTCTTCATTCATTTTCAGGTCTCAGTATTCATACGACCGCTTTGCACTCTATGGGTGTCACTCATTGCAACGGACATAATTCCTACAGTATCGCCGTGTAAACTTTTTGTGTGTAGTCATTATATGAGCAATGGGGAAACCAGCGTTATACTAAGCTATAGGTACCAAAATATATACAGTGCGTTTCAAAAGTATGTGCACACCCTCAAAATTCACGTTTGAAAGGGAACCATGAGGTTTCGTGCTATGAAATCCTTCTCAATCGATTTCTCGTAGTCGATAACCTATCAATGGAAGCAAAGCAGATAATATCGCCTTCACTTTCAAAAAAAATTTTGGATGAAATTTTTTTCTTTGTTTCAAAAGTATGTGCACACTTAACAAAAGACAAAAACATAGCTGAGATTAGAAATCAGTGGGGCCTCCAGAGTTTCTAATTAGCTCAAACATCCTGTCCGGCATAATCTGAACCACGTTTTGGCATAGCTGTTTCGTCGCTGTCGGCCCAAATAGCCTCTACCGCCGCCTTCAGTTCATCCGCGGTATTATACTGCCGGTTGCTAAAGTTAACGCCTTGATCAAGGGCTCCCTATAGGGTTGCAGTAAGGAGGACACACAAGCCAATCTATCGCTTCAGCACCATTTGGTTAAGGCCATTCTTTGGTAGATTGCGAAGCATCGAAAGACACGTGGTCCTGTTGCTAAAAATGCAATTTTCGCTCCGCTTCGCTAAGGAAGGGCAACAGGTGACATTGGAGCACTGCTTGGTATTCTTTACAGTTCATACGCAATAACGGAACGGCAAGTCTTCTGAATTTCCCGGACTGATCGACGAAACGCCGCAGACACGCGCCTCTTCCGAAATTCCTTCTCGAGAGCACGAGCGACTCACGGCCAAGCCTCTCCAGTAGTAGCAAAATCCACCCGGCCCGTCAAGATCGAACTCTTTCCATGAGTTAAGATTACCTGAGGAGAGAAAGTCCATAAAAAGTTGCTTGTTTTGAAAATAGGAAATTCTCGAAAAACCGTGTCTTCGCCCGGTGTCCTATCCTATGTTGCCATGTCTGTACGAGCAGACTCCAATGTGGCTAACTTGTGCTGGGCCTTGAAGTGAGTAGCCTTTCTCAGCGTCTGTCGAGTGGTGTATTCATTTGAGCGGATGAGGGGCTTAGTGGTCATTTTCGAGGCTGGAATAAAAATCTGAGCTCGGACTGTCAATGAAGAATCCGACAGGATGTGGGCTACTCTTTTGTTGTTCTGAGCAGTCAAGGATCGTGGATGGAGCGGAGTGTGTGCTGAGTATAATTATCAGGGTGCCAGATAAATCTTCGAATGCATTAAGGAGAACGACCAAGTTATCGTGCGATTTCTAGATTGGAACGTTCATTATCATGCAGAACCTTGATCTGAGCTTGCTCATCTTCAGGAAGAAGTATGGCGCGAATTGACATGATGACGAATGAAAACAGCAAAGTCGGATTGAAATCGGTGGAAAATTCGGCGCCAAAATCTGATCTTCTTCAAGTGTGCACATACTTTTGAAACAAAGAAAAAATTTCATCCAAAAATTTTTCCGAAAGTGAGGCGATATTATCTGCTTTGCTTCCATTGATAGGTTATCGACTACGAGAAATCGATTGAGAAGGATTTCATAGCACGAAACCTCATGGTTCCCTTTCAAACGTGAATTTTGAGGGTGTGCACATACTTTTGAAACGCACTGTATATTGAAATGTGGAAGCACTAAAAAATCCTGAACTTCTTTTATGCCCGTGGTGGGTAGTTGTGTAGTGGCAAGTGGGTGGCGCTTCTTACCACAGAGATCAAATCCTAGATGTTATGCCGTCCAAGTCAACAGACCTTCCATCCCCATGGGTTTCATTAATGGTACCAGAATCGTTTGGGAGGATAAACACTGACCTGCGCATCTAGTGGCCCCTGCAATTATAAGTAGATTTCACGATGAAAGGCGGTCTTTGGAAATTAACCTGAAGATGGTCAGTAATGCAAGAAAGAAGAAGAAATCAAGAAAAGTGGACCGAACCCGGGGAAATATGACGTTTTCCTTGCCTGTTAATTTCTGCATTGATGCCTCTCTCATCTGTGCTATCCTCTTCAACGCTAACGCTGTCTCTGCTGAACGGCTTGAGAAGCAGATACGAGACGACCTGCCCAATAGCACCTCAATCGCGGGGAAGCCACACCGAACACCGGGGAATATTCCGCGATGTGAGTCCGTGTGTGTCAGCCCGCACCCTTAGCTGGTCCACCTGTCTTTCCACTAGAAAAGTTTTTCCTTCTTCTTTTTCCTTCCTTTTATTCTGTCGTTTTAACTGGTCATTCCTTCTCTTCTTATCTCTGCCGATTTCTTCAACTTCACCGAGAAGTCTTGGATTGCAAGGATTTTGAAAAACCCCTTTCCAAGGACACACTCCTCCCACTGTGTGGGTGCCTGCGCCCATTTCCATGTTTTATAGCCACCCTCAGGCACTGCTCTCTTCCAACCAGTTTTTCTTCCCTGGAACTGGATTTTTACCCTGTACAATTTTTTAACTTATTTGTGTATGGTGACATGGTACTACCTCTGCACTTCATTGTATGGTGTATCTTTTACAAAGTTTCTTGAAAGTCTTGTATACATGCGTTGGTGCACTTTAGGCAATAAAGCCATCATTAGAGCAACATCAGGTAGCAACAGTTGTAAGCGAACCATCCTACTCACTATGAAGCGCTTCGTCTGCCGTTTGACTGTCGTTCTGTATGTCTCGCACGAAAATCCCTAGCTCATTAGGATCCGCCAAAGCCGATGGCGGGTCATGGAAGGAAGTCCGCCTCGGGGCGGCTACGTATCAGGCGACGCAATGAAAGAATCGGGTTAAAGCGCGCGATTTTGGAGAGTAGAGACAAATCGATCGATAGAATAGGATGAGTAGAAGTGTGAGATGTGAATGCAATAAGTCAAGAAGGCCAGAAAGAGTTTCTAGTGACGGCACTCCAAGAACCAAGTGGAAGCATTCCCGTCGCCAGCATTTGTGACAGATGTCCGGCGGTACTTTGAACGCGTAGCAGCCCTTTCGGTTTTCGAATTTTTTTACCAAAACAAATGCAATTTTTTTGTTCTTTTCATTCTTATCGTGAATGATGGGTCCCAAGCCAGTGAGCTATGACTGAGACGGAATCACGATTTTTCGAGGGATTCCTTCAACCTTTCCCGAACCGCGCACCTTTGCCGCGGCGGGATGCGTGTGGCCGGCGCCTTATTGTGCTCACCGCCGCGCGCTGCGCGTTGAGCATCCTACCTACTATAAAGCGCTTCGTCTGTCGTCTGTCGTCTGTCGTCTGTATGTCTGTCACGAAATTCCCTAGCTTACGAAATTCCCTCGAAACTGGGCCAAAAAGTGGGTAAAGGTGTGCATTGGTAAGTCACATCGAATTAGGGAGACCCACCCCCGGTGGGCGGGGCGTTCTCAAAAAAGCAGTGCTTTATGAAAAATTTCATAACTCGGTTGGGAGAAAGCCTACAGAGCAGAAAACAAATTGGTGTAAGGGAGCAATGTCTAAGGTGTTCCCAGCATACATGACGTGGCGGAGGCCCGCCCACAATGGGCGGAGCGCGCTCTGAAGTGTACAGCATTTTCTACAAGTCCTCATAATTCGGGCCGGGGAAGTCTTAAAGAGCCGGAAAAAGGTGGATAGAGGTGGGTGGAGGAGTGGAGGCCAGCTGTCAATGGTGGGCGGGGCTTGACCAAAGTGGGCGGAGTTTGCGACGAAAATTCATAACTCGGCTCCAAGAAGTCCCGGAGGCCGGGAAAAAGGTGGATAGAGGTGGGTGGAGGAGTGGAGGCTTAAATACTGTCAGTGGGCGGCCCCGAAAATTCATAACTCGGTTCCAAGAAGCCCGGGAGGTCGGGAAAAAGATGCATGGGGGTGGTTGAAGTAATAGAGCTA